ATGCAAATAAACAGGAGCACACCCCAAGGAAACTTAGCCTACTCTGGATAGCAGAGAAAATTTCCCCAAGGAAGCGATATTTAAGCTGAGATCTCAAAGATAGATAGCACTAAGAAGGCAAGTAAGTGGAAAAGAGCCTTTCAGGCAAAGGAACAACATGTCGCCGGAAGGAGCACAGCATGCTTGAAAAATGGAAGTAATATGAGTGAGCAGCAGGGAGGAAGAGGGAAGGTGGCATAGGCTAGAGCTAGAGTAGTAGTAGCAATACTAAGGATAATCATAGGGAACAGTTATTGAGTACTCAGTCCTAGGTGCTTTTCTAAGCACTTTACATATATTATTTTATTTAATTCTCATTGTTATTGTCTCCATTTTAGAAGTGAGGCAGCAAAAGCCAGAACATGCAAAGTCTAGTAGGCGACGTTAAGGAATGTATCTTTCATAAGTGAAAGTAAATTGTGGCCACTGAAGTGTTTTAAGCAAGTTGGAGGTAAGGTATTGATGTGAAAAGATGCATGTTTTTAAAAAAATGACTCTGCTGTGTGGAAAGTGTCTTGGAGGGAAAAGTAGAGACAATAGAAGACATCATAGTCATCCAAGTGAGAAGTATCAGCTCGGAGTGGAGAGATGGTGGGAGATTAGAGATGTGGACAGATTCAAGAACTTGGCAATGGTCGGATATGGGGGTGGCGAGGGGAACATCCAGGGTGTCTAATGGATGGTGATGTCCTTCTCCAAGAAGAGGGTGCCAGGTCTGGGAGGTAGATAATGTATTCAGCTTTAGACACACTGAGCATAAAGAAACTTTGGGAACAAAACAGAATATGTAATCAATTACTGTTTGTTTTAATGGGCTGAACTGAGATGCTCTCCACTCCATCAGGAGCTCCTCATTCTTATTAATGTATGCCATGCTGCAGAATTGAAATCTTTTCGATTCGTAACTAAAAAAGGTGCTTTACAAAATTCTATGTGAATATTCAGTTGCAAGCTGTACAGATGGGCATTAGTCCTCATCTTGGTAATAGATCTGTGTAAATTGGCTGTTTGATATTATAGTGTCCCCACAGTTCAAAGGCTGATGTCCATTGAATTGTCCTTCTTTCCCAATATTTTACCAGTATGACTTGCTTAGTATCTGATCCTTCTCACTGACCAACCTCTAATACAAGTCAAACTGGTGAAGATTCAATCAGCAACAGAGACCCTCATGATCCTAACTCTGTAACTGCCTGACAGACACTGAAACCCCAATGATATTGAAATCTGTAGTATGTCTGCTAGCACTTGAGGAGAAGGAAGGGCTTCTGTCAATGGCAGGTCTCCTCGTTTCCACAGATGGAGATGTAGTGCCACCTCTAGTGTCACTGGTCCAGAATGGTTCCTTTTAACACAACAGGTATCAAATCACTTGAAGTCACTGCTCATGAAACTCTCTCAGTTTGGGCCATACCTATAACTCCGTTATATATGAGGAAATATAGACACAAATTTAGATCAAGGCTATCCATCAGAACAACAAAAGCATTGCATTGCACTTGACTATTGCTGACCTAGGTTCTTGCTTCTTTTTCCTTCTGTGTCTTGCACTGCCTCGATCACCTTCCCCAATCATAACCTATTTGGTTAGTTCATTTCCTCCATCTCTAGCAGTGTTCAAGCAGAAGCCATTCATGAAATAAAATTTCTATCTCCAGACCCTCCAGACTCTCCAAACATATAAACATCCTAGCTGATTCTAAATGAAGATATCTGAAGATAAGACCATACACTTAACTTTACAAAAAAATGAAATATGGACCTATTTAGAGTTAATGCTCAAGTTGTTGAGGAAGAAACCATCAATAGGAAGAGTAAATTAATTCTTTGAGGAAAATTAAAGCTCTAGTAAGTAACAATGAAGAAAGATAACATGGTCTTGTGGAAAGGAAACTGTCCTGTCATAGAGGAGATCTGCATTGACGTTCTCAAGTCAGTTCTGCCCCCCACTTAACTGCATATATGATACTAGACAGCTTCATGCCTCAGTTTTCTTTTTTTGTCAAAGACAGAGGATAATGAATCCCATGTATTCTTCTACAAAAAACAACTATATAGAACACTCGAATCAATATTTTTTTAAATAGAAGGATTTGAGTTTTTACAAAACTATGGCTAATATGTAAGTTCTTCCTTTGAAATTTTATCATCAGATGAGTCTTAATGAAAGAGAAATAAAAATGCAGCAAGAGCAGAATGAAAAAAGCATCATTAACCTCATCTAAGCAGAAAAGTTGAGCCAGTCTTCATCAGTAACAACACGAAACTGTCCTAGGCCTGCTCTTTGACATGAGAGATAATCATGTGTTTGAAGCAATGAGGTAATATGGACAACTGAGTGAGTCACTCATTATTTGGATCTTAGGTTCGGTGCCAATACTGCCCTCAATAAAAGGGAATTACTGCAAAATCAGGCAGCCACTGAAGTTTCCACTAAATGAGCATCCCTCTCTATTCCTTCTAAGACACAAAGCAGCTCAGCACAGATGGATGTGTCTCTTTCCTTCATTTTATGAATGATTCTGTCCAGAGTTACTGGGAAGTTTTTAAGGGAAGAGAAAAGAATGGTGTTGCTGCTTTTAAGTCCTTTGTTAACATCAAGAAATCAAGCCACATATTTTTTAATAATGAGAATCTGGATCAAGTTCAATGTATAGTTCAAAATATATTCCAATTAAACTATTTAATAGAGTCTTGGCTTTGCTTCTAGCCCCGTCCCACCACCATATGTATCCAATAATTGAACCTCTTCCTCCTTTCCAATAAAAAATTGGGTCACTGAAGTGTTTTGAAAGTTTGATTTCTCTAAACCATTGTTTTCAAAATGTCGATAATAAGCCTTCCTATTGATAATATTGATTATTTGTAGTAGAAGTACCTTGAAACCTACTGTGCTGAATACCTGCGCAACTCATGCAGGTCCCCTGTCCCTGCCCAATGACCCTACGTGTGTTACAATGCAGGTAGCCGCCCCCAATGATCATTCTATATCCACATCCATGCACAAACTAAGTGGTTGTGCTCCAAGATGACAGTAATCCTGCCTACCTGAGCCACAGGGCCAGCAAGCGATCTCATTCACCATTCATAGGCACTTACTGGGTGCCAGGCCCTGTGGTAGATCTTGAGGACACAGCAGTAAACACAATAGTTGCCATCAGTACCTGCTCTCAGGAACTGGCAATATCCCTGCCAACCTTCTCATACCAGCCTCCTGCTCAGCTAGAGCTTGGAAAGCCGATGAGTAAAGCAAGGGCATATAAGCAAAGCAGCACCTCAGAACTCGTTCAAATCAAGTAAGTGTCTTTGGATGATATTTTTTTGTTTATAAAGCATGTTTCCATAACTTGCTTCACAAAAAATTATCCCTCTTTTGTAGGTGAGAAAACCAGCACTCAGAGTGAAAGTAAATTGCCCAAGGTTTAGAGAGTTAGTGACCATCAAATGTGAGGACCCAGATTTTCTTCACTCCCACAAAATCTCTGCCTCTTAAGGGCCATGAGGGCCTGAAATCAGTAGTAACAGCCTGAATAATTATTGACTCTGCTTCTAATCACAGCTTTATAGGGAACAATATATTAAAAAGATGGAAATTCTGGATCACTTACCTCACCAGATCCCTGGGAAGAGCAATAGTCTAATCATGTTTTGAATAATCAATCATCAGAAAGGCAATATTCCCTGTCCCTAATACATCTTTCTCTTAGGCATCCACGTACAGGGACATAAGGCAGTTGAAGATGAAAATCATGATGACAAAGACAACAGTAACTAGTAGTATTAAGTGCTTACTAGGATTTTAAATGCATTATCTCATTTAACCCTCACAAAAATTCTATTATATTCTCCCATATAATGCAGAAGATGAAAATTGGGTGTCAGAAAAGTTGAAGGACTTGACCAAGGTCACAAAGCTAAAAAGGAACAGTGATAAGAGTCTTACCCAGGTTGTCTGACTCCAGAGTCTATGCTTTTAATCACTACATTCATCTTAAAGCTCACCATATTTCAGCAATTTAGGTTACAAACCTAATTCAATGTACAAAGTGCTAGATGTTACCCTGAGAAGAGAATGTAATATAATACATTATCAAGTCCTAAAATGGCCTTTCAAATGGCAGAACCACAAATTCAAAATTTGGGCTTCTATTCGTGGCATCCATTTAGTGGAACAAAATGAGCTCAGTCTGTAAATGTTGATCAGTGCCACCTGTAGGCAGCGGGAGTTTGAAGGAGACTCATAAAGTATCTGACTCTTTGGGAAGCTTTCATTCAGGGACCCATGTGGATGGGTGCTGCTCTGAGAAAAGTTGAAATCAGCCTACAAACCATCTGTACACACGGCCACAGGTTTCCCAACCTGAGTTACCAGGGAAAGGAGCTTAGAAATTGGATAAAAAGCACAAAACAACAGGGGGGAAGTCGCTTAGCCCATCAATCTGAGAGGGGTGTTGTTTCAGATAAGCCAAAAAGGAGAGAACACAAGTTGCGAGGTTCAGATGAGCTCGCAGCCGCCCACTTCCTCACTGTGAGATCTGATGTCCTTTATTCCCATTGTCCAGAGCTAAGATTTTGCTCACTACAAAACTAGAATAAAAAAACTGATAAGGCTGCCATGAGGAATGTATGAAGTTATTATGAAAATCTCGTCAAATAGCAAGGCTTATGTGAGTGCTTAGTAATAATAATAATTTCATCACCATCATAATCATAAATATATAACCATGCTTTTCGGAAGGGAGAGAGAATTTTGAGTGCCAGATGAAAAGCTGCCTCTGGAGCCAGCTTGTTTGCTCAGGTGGTGATGCTTTGGTTATTTACGGAGCTACCAAGTTCTCTACATTCCAGGAGAATTGGTACAACCCATATCTTGGCCGGGGGTCAGATGTGCTATATTCAGTTCGGCTCCCACTCCCTCCTCAGTCCTATCACTAAGTGGAGGCCTTGTCCCAGGGCTTTACCTTGCTGCTTTTGCATGGTGGTGAAATCCTCAAAGGTAAGTGTGCGCACAGGAGGTCTCCAGAATGCATACGTCTCCATGATGGCTTCAAGTCCAGTTCTGGAAGAAGAAAAGCCAGCAAAGGAAGTTGTAAATAATCCCAAGAAATGCACTGACTTTGTAAAGATCCAGAGGTGGTTTGTCTAACAAGTGGCATAAACATAGGCACTGAGAGATATCACATCACCATCAGAATGACTTAGTCTAGAAAACACACGGCACAGACGATGCTGGATTGCGGGACGAAGAACAAGTTAACCCAATTCAGAGTATCTGCAGGCAAATCTACAACCATGATGGAATTTCACTCTGACATTTCTTCAAAGAAGGTTTGGTCTGCATGAGAAAAGCATGTTATGTGTTAAAGGTCAAGGCCACCAATATCATGAGTACAATCGAGCAGAGAGTAGCACTGACTGTTTCTCTAGCACAGGACAATGTCTTAATCGTTACCACAGTACGCTGACACAGCCTGTCCCAGAGTCAACTCCACACCTCGGGTATGTAAAGAGTCGATGAAACTGTCAAATTGCTGTGGCTTTAAAGGCTTCTTAAGTCAACAAAAATGAGAAGGACAACAGAAATAAAAGGAGAGGTAAGCAATCAAATACACGTGGGTTTCTATTGCAACAAGAAACACCTACCTGAAGGCACAGAAAGGCCTTGGTCTTAGAAAGTATACCTCAGACAAAAGGACCAGTGCATTTCTCCAAATATTTATCTGTATTTTTGTAACCTAATAATCAAGCTGGTCTTTGAGAGTCACAAACCATCAGACTTCAGGAAATATCCAATATTTTACAAGTACATTCTTTTAAGCCTTCTGGTTCACTGGAATTGGGAATTCCATACATGAGGTGTTGATACGTATCATTCTCACATGCTTACTCAGGTTATCCAGACACACTCTTGCTGATATTTCGTATCCTCAAAACAAAGTATTGGTTGGAACTTTGTTTAAAGCTTTAAACACAACTTCTGATTATTGACCTTTCTTTAAAACTAACTGTTCTACTTCTAAGTTGAGGGAGTTGAAGCACAGGGACTGTGGGGAAGGTGGGAGAAGGAGAGTGGGAAAGAGCAGATGGCTTAAGTCTTTTCATTGCAGAGTCACTGAACGGTGATATGGTGTTTCTTCCTGAAACAGACAAACCTTCCCTTTTGAGATGAAACATATGCTGCTTGTCCTTGTCCTTAGGTAATACATTTCCAGAGTTCTCTTCAGCCTTGCATACCAAGAATATAGTGAAAAGTTTTATTTGAAGTGAGAACGAATATCCGTTTCTTACAAATGACTCTAGGATCCCCTGAGGTTCTTCTTAGATGAGCTGCTGATACACTGATTGACTCTTCGTGTTGGAAAATTTCCTCTCTAAACAGGCCTTACTCACACAGTTAACTTTCTAAAGTCTTCTCTGGAATCTGGGAGGCTTTAAATATGTCAATGTTGGCAATCCAAACTCTGTATTTTAAGAAGAGGTTAGGAGAAGAGAGTGGTGCATGGTGTTTATTAGCTGTTAATCTGTTAGAAGTAGGAATAGAAGACATCTCCACATAGTCACTCTGTATTAATGCTGAATACAGTACATGAAACTATTTGTGGTGAGAAAGAGCCCAGGCAATTAGGGAGTTCGGAGTAATAAGGGGATAGGCAGATAAAGCCATGCTGAGCCTTGGTGGATAGAAGAAATAGATAAGCCAGGCTTAGGTCTGACTGCTTTGTTTTGGAATGTTGGCCATCCACCAGAACATCTTAGGATTCCTTTTAATGGCACAGAAGGCTCACTGCAAATGGCAAGGTCTTTATTGTTCCACCTCCTATTCCATTCTTCCCAGGAACATGCACCAATGATGAGGACAAACTATTAGCTCAAGGACAAAGAATACTCCCTTGTTTGTTCATAATCAGGTGCTAGAAGACTATGAAGTTGTAATAATACACTAATACACTACCAATAGTTTACTTATTGAATAAATAGAAAATGAACTTTATATTCTGTCTTGGTCAATTTTGTGCTGCTATAACAGAATGCCACAGACTAGGCAATTTATAAACAATAAAAGTTTATTTGGCCCACAGTTCTGGAGGCTGAGAAGTCCATGAACGTGGCACTGAAACCTGGCAAGGGCCCTTGTGCTGCATCAGTCCATAGCGGAAGGCAAACGGGCAAGAGAGGGCAACAGCAAGAGAGAAGGTGGCTGAACTCATCCTTTTATCAGGAGCCCATTCCCATGATAATTAGTCAATTCTTAAAATAATGGCATTAATACATTCATGAGGGTGGTACCCTCGTGACCTAATCATCTCTTAAAGGTCCCATCTCTCAACACTATTGCATTGGGGATTAAATTTGCAATACATGAACTTTGGGGGACACATTCAAAAAATAGCAGTTTCATTTTTACAATAGACAAAAAGGCTGTGGCAAAGGTATAATTTTATTTAAGCATCCAATTCTACACAGCATAATGAACATTTATCCAAATCTAAAATCCAATGAAAAGACTGAATTATAGAATCATAGATTTACATTTTGGGAAGAATCTTGGATGTCATCTTCTCTACCTCTTTTGATACCATGCTGGATGGCTATCCAGCCTCTGTTGGTATAATTTGCCAGGAAAATATTCAGCTTTTTGATAGATGTGTTTCTGACATTAGGCTGAAACCTCTGATATAACTTTCACTCTCTGGTTCCATTATCAATAGGTAAATAGTGAGAGTGCCAGACATTTCCCACAAGTAGTCCATCTACCACATTCCCATCCAAGAGACTTTCTTTAGCTTAAGAACATAAAGTACAACATGCCACATACAAACACACCATGGGTCTGTCACAACAAAGATCATTTTGGTGATGGAACTGGGGGGAGAGGTTATGATTCCCAAAAACTAATAGCTAAGGCCACACCTGTCTAACCACACCCTACTAATCCACTGTGGATCTATCTCCCACAGATTTATCTTACGTAGGATACAATATAAATTATCCTATAATATATATTATCCTGTGTAGGATAATATAGACCTCATAAATTTATATTACTGAATCTATATATGTATTCAGCATGTGCCTCTTTTTAGAAAAATTAATACTATTTTTCTACCATATGCCACATCTTTTATTTGTACTCAAACCCTATTAAGCTTTAATAGCTTTAATGGATAGCTTTAACTGTTAGAAAGTACTAGTTCTATATATCAGGATTTGGTGTAGTGCCACAGCAAGATTAGACAATTCATCTTTCTCCACAACTACCATGTATGCACCTCAAGAGCTTTGGATCTCATGTTCTTCTATTCCCCATTGCCTAGCATAGTGCTGGTTACATGGTAAGATCTCAATTGATATGCATTGAATTAATAAGTAGAGGAGTAAATGTTTTATTACCGAGTCATTATTTCATAAACTGTTTAACCAGCATTTATTTTCTAACCTTAAAACTGTGGAAAACAACATGGTATAAAACAAAGTCTCTGAAGACAGAAGAAATCCTCTAGTATTGGAGATTTGGGAATTGTTTATATAGCTGATTGTGATTGTTCCTTTATTGACTTCGGTCTCAGAAAGGTTTCAGTTTTCCTTTGGTTTCTTCTGTTCCAGTCATGGAATCTCTGACCTTCAGCAGAGTCTGAGTCCCCTAGCAAAGGCCAGTCATTTCTACACCTCATTTTCTCTTACAAGAGTTTTTGCCAACTACCCATTAACATCCTCAGCCACTTGGATGTCTATTCAAAGTTTATCCTGTGCTATACACATTGTTTACTTATTCATCACCATTTTACCCTAGTTTTGTAAAATTTTATCTCCAGTTTTTAAAAATGAATTCATTGTCCGACAGATGAAAAAAGCGGTCTTAGGTAACCATATGCCATTAACGTGTTCCACATGGTGGGCCTCTCAGGGTCTGCTGCACACCACTGATGTCATCTCTGAGGTTTCCAATCAGAAATGGTCAAATTGGCAAGTGTCCCCCTCTTACTTACTTTTCCCTGTGAGCTCCAGTGACAACAAAGCCCACATCCAAATCCCCTTTGTTCGGTGCTTTGGCTATAATCACCTCCCTGGTTTCCAGACCTCTTCTTTTTAGACTTTCAGTCTGCTCATTGGCCAAACCAACAGAATGTGCTGAAGAGGAGGGGGCAGTGGAAAGAGAGAAAGCAAGCCAAAGAGTTCTTTTGCAAATTGATGGTGCCTTGAGATCAACTGATTTGGAAAAATAGCCAGACTGTAAAGAAATATCCTTTCAACATTCTCATTCCAAAAAAAGATAGTAGGATCATTCCTTTGAAGTTCAGCAAATATTTGATAATCATAACAATTATAAAAACATTCATGATCCTATTAGGTAGCACACCAATGTATACTACTGCTTTTCATTTGTCTTGAGATAGGGAGTTGGATTTTTTGTTTGTTTGTTTGTTTCTTCTGTTTGTTTTCCCTTTAGTTCTGACTTTCCTAATTTTGAGTCTTTGCCAGTGATACTGGTAACAATGGGAACATATGCTAGGTTGATAAGGCCATTGAGCATCTCTCAGTAGCAGACAGTCAAGAGCTAAGGGAAGCCTATTGAGACAGGGGTCTTAAAGTCATAAAGGAGTTATGCAACCAGGAAAAGAAAAATATGTGCTAAGTTCTAGAGATATAAAGGCAAAAAAGACACAGGGTCTTTACCCTTTAGGAGTGTTTAACAAAAAGAGAACAAGATATAAATGACTAGTTACTGAGCTATGCAATAAATGCTACACTGGCCATATGTTTGCCAAGATGCCATGGAGCATTGAACAAGAAGTACTTAATACACTTGGAAAACTCGAGGAAGATTCCACAGAAGGCCAGTTATTTAAGCTTAATATTAAAGGGTACTCAGCAGTTTTCCATGCAGACATGAGGCAGAAAGGGGTTTTCTAAGTAGAGTTAAAGGTATGTGCAAAGACTTGGAGGTATGGAAGAGAAGGCATGTTTTAGGAACTAAAAATAGTTCAGGGTGACTGGAGCTTGGGGGACAAGATGGGGAGGGTAGACACCATGGACCGTTATTCCATGTTAGGTGCTTAG